TGGCTCAGCAATTAAGAGCTCTGGCTGCTATTGCAGAGGACCTGGGTTCAGTTCCCAGCATCCACATGGAGGCAAGCAACCAACTGTAACTCTAATTTCAGGGCATCCAATCCCCTCTTGACTTCCACAGGCATTATATGCATGTGTACACTTAAATACATGCAGACAAAACACTCATACACATAAAATAAAAATAAATGAATAAAAAAATCTTTTCAAAAAAAATCCATGGTGCTGACCATTGGTGTGCAGGCCTCTAATCCCAGCCTCTTAGGACTAAAGCAAGAGGGTCACAAGTTCAAGGCCAGCCTGAGCAACATAGTGAGACCCTATCTCAAAAATAAATGAATACTAAAAATAAAATCACAGCTTATTTTATGGTTTGGGAAGCATAGTTAAGGGTTTGTTTTATATTCTACTTACCAGTTCTGTGTTAGTATGTGCGAGGCCATTTGTCATTTATTTTGTATCACAGCCTCATGAGTTTCACTTACTGGTTACAATAGTGATTTTGTCTGCATCACTAGGTCTGTCTTCATTTGAGTTTTCTGTAGGAATGATCATGTTATCAATAAAAAAATGTTAACTCCCAACTTCTCATAAATTTTTATGCCTTTTTTTTTTTTTGCTTTCAAACAGAGACTAAGTGCTCTGGAACACGGGTGAGTAGGAACAAGGCTATGAGGCTTCTGTCCTTGTCCCTGAGACTGAGAAGAGGTTGCTTGGTATTTAAATGGACTATGATCTTAGTAGGGCAATTGCTAAGATTATGCTGTAGCTACATACATGATGAATAGCTCTTAAATTTTAAAATCTATTATTCACCAGACATTTGTTGAGCACCTGCTAAATATCAGGTACTGTTCTAGTGCTAGGGACAAAGCCATGTGCTGTGAGTCTAGAGGAGGGACTGGCAATTAAAAAACTGGGTAAGCAAGCACACAGCCAGGCAACACACACTGTATAGGAAAATGAAGCTGGGTGGTAGGCTGTGGATGGTGGTGAAGACTGTTTGTGGGAGACTGCTATTCAGCTCTATACGCTATAGTGTATAGAGTTTTGAGTCCAGTTTCATTCTTTTCTGTGGGAAGCTCAGCTTTCCTACCCCTTGTAGGGGAATCCTATTCTCTCCAGTGTTCTCAGGCTGGTGGTGCTTCACACTCTCCTCACACCTGCCTGGTGACTGGGAGGTCCCATTCTCTTCCTGCTCCCTCCAGGCTTCATTCTCCCTAACAGAGCCCTCTGCATTCCTGTGCACCTCATTCTCGGTTTGTCAGATTTCACATTTTTTAAAATATTTCTTTATTAAAAATTTTTAAATTATTTTTATGTGTATGAGTGTATTGCCTGCATGTATGCGAGTGCACCCGTGTTATGCAATGCTGCAGAGGTCAGAAGAGGGCTTTGGATTCCCCTGGAACTGGAGTTCATAGCTGCCATGTGGGTGCTGGGAATCCATCCTGGGTCCTCTGCAAGAGCAGGCAGTGCCCTTAACCACTGAGCCATCTCTCCAGCCCCAGAGTTCACAAACTTTTAAACTCCGAAGTTGGAGTGGAGGGAATTGAGATCCTTACATCACGAAGAATTTGTAAGAAAGATATTTCCCAGATAAGAAATATCACAAATGTCTCATTTAAGTATTTAAAAAATTTTAAAAATTTTTGTGAGCTTTTGCCTGCATGTATGTAAGTGCATCATGTGTGTGCAATACACATGGAGGCCAGAAGAGAGTGTTGAATCCCCAGTAACTGGAGTTATAGACAGTTGTTAGCCACCATGTGGGTGTTGGCAAATGGAACCTGGGTACTCTGCAAGAGCAGCCATACTCTTAACCTCTTAGCCATCTCTCCAGCCCCCTTATCTTTAGTTTTTCATTAAAATTTTCCAACACTTAATTTCAAGGTAAAAATATTGTTTCATTTCTAAGAATTAACTTTAACTTGAATGTAACTTGATATCTGGGGCTGGATCCCTGACCAGAAATGACATCCATAAAATGGAAGCCTTGTGTGAGGGACATGTGCAGGCTGACAGCTCTGTGGGACGGAAACCTCTCCAATGATAAAGGTACCTAATTGTACACACAGTTAGCCTCAGAGAAGCCTGGGTCATGCACACTTAAGAGCCCTTCACATAATCTTTGTGATTCTTTTGTTAATTTAAAATTATTCCAAAATAAAAATTTTAATTATATGTGTTATTTAAATACATACAATTTTAACTGTGTGTAATGTACAGTGAATTGTACTGCACTTGCAAGATCTGTGGGTTCTGAGAAGGACTTGGAGTGTGGCGGCTGTTACTCAAGGAGTACCAGGACACATGTATGGGAGACACAGTGTATAAGCCAGTTGGCCCAGGTTCTAAGACAGAGTTCTGGGACAGGAACAACAAATACAATACCCTATGATAGGGATAGCTAAGGCCAGACATCCCCCAGCCCTGCAAGAAAAAAGATCTCAGCTTCTTTGTCTTCCAGAGGGAGGATATGGGGGTCAGGCGGGATGTGTACTGATGGGTAGATGGCACCAAGGCAGAGTGTACTCCTGTGAAGGAAGAGGCCACTCCTGCCGCCACCAGCATGTGTAGCTGAGCCTTGCCTGGGTCTCTCCTCCTTCTGTTCCCTTTATAAGCACCCAGGCTGTAGCTGTAACACTTCTGGATTCCCCCCACCAAGTGTGGGATGCCTCCTGGAGAAGAGGTGCCATGCCTCATCTGTGTCATGGGGGTGTTCCCAACTCTGTTTACCTGGTAGTGGCCCTCTCTCCTATGTGTACCTGTCAGGGGTGGCTATGGCTAACAAGAACATGGGAAGGATGTGGCAACTCCCAGGCCAATTCTGCATATCAAGATCAGAGTAGGACACTGATGTGGCTGCTAGACCCCTACCACCCCTAGATGGTAGATGTGGGCTGGCGTCCCTCTTCTTAAAAAGATGATGTAGCCATACCTGGCTCCCGGGATCTGGGGGTGGATGGAGGATCAGAGGCTGACTGTGGGGGATGCTAACAGGAGTTCCAGGTACAGCCCTGGCCTTGCCTTGACACAGTGCTTCAGGCTCCATGGTCTGTGTTAGCAAACAGCAGGTATTCTCTGAGCCAGGTGTGTGCTTTCCTTAGCACCCTCAGTGTCCAGCTGGCCTCACTCCCAGTCAAGCACAGAGAAATGCATATTGGTAAGTCAAGCCATCTCTGATACTCAGGGGATTTACAGATTGTTCTCAAGTACAAATCCTCACTGTGGAGTGGTCTTAGCTTCTCAACTTGGCCTGGTGTCTCTCAACCTCCCAGAGCAGCCTCCATAGTCTATAGGCTCATGTATCCCATGTATATCAAAAGCGGATCTTCCCTCAGCCAAGTAGCCCTTCCCAGAGCCCAAGCAGGGCCAAATAGGAAGTCCTGGCATGTAAGAAGACCCAGGGAAGCCCCAACAGGCACCCAAGTAGTACAACTCTGTACATAGTTGGCATTCAGTAAGTAGGGTTTCCATTGCAGGTCCTAGAGCCCAAGTGACTGGGGGGAGGGAGCAGGCCTAGGCAGGCAGAAGCCCATCCTGGCCCACCCCAGTCACCATACATCCTCCTCTGGGGAGACACATGAAGACCAGGTTCAGTCCTTTCTGCTTTAAGATGCCAGCACCTTCTAGGAAGGAGAAAAGTTATGGGTCTCTCTCACTTTAATGTGAATTAGCTTGTTTTAGTAGAGCGTAAGATTTACATGAAAGCAGTAGGGATTGCAATGTTTGCCCTTACCTGCCCCAACGCCTGCCAGAGACAGCTGTACCAGAGGCATAGATTCTCTGAGTTAACCTGGAGAACCATTAGAAGACTACTTCATGACCCAGTTTCCTTTGAGTCTTTGGCCTAGAATCTCCTCTCTAGATGTAGCTGAAAACTGACCTTGAAGCCCCTTATTTTCTGTTAGACTCGGGATCTGTTCTGTCAAATGCCTGGTCCAGGCTGGCTGCCTGTCAGCATTGTGACAATGCTAACAAGGTGGCATTGATCTCCCTATCACTTGTGGTAGGGTTTCAGGCAGCCAGAATATCTCTGGCCTATCAGGAGGTCCCATGGTACCACAGATACCTGCAGAGCAGGGCTCAGCAGTTGGTGCTCAGCACCACTGTCCCACATTACTGGAGTGGCCCTGATCCACCAGTCTCCCAGAACTCCTCAAAGGACACAACATAGAGAAGGGAGCTGGATTTGCTCTGGCTTGTTATGGTACATAACTTATGGTGACACAGGGAACAGTAGGCCAATGGGCCAGTACTCTGTGATAAGATGGTAGGGGGCCTTCCAGGTCACCATACTGGGTGACATTGGTGTCTGGTGCATGGGCTGAGGCCGGCCTGTGAGGCCATGTTTGGGCTGTAATTACAGCCTCTGTCCTGTGGGCCGAGCTGTAAGGGCGTTTGGGGAGGTGTCTGTAGGGCCTGTGACTCAGGAGCTCATGAGAAAAGTAGCACCTAGCACAAGGGGAATTAGGGCCTTGGTGCTGAAAACAGGCAGTGCCTGTAGTCTGGGTCATGGGTGCCACCCGCCTGGCACCTGATTTGCTAGTGATATTGCCCACCAGCCAGTGGTCCCCTGCCTGCTCCTCATCTATGTATTTGCACATCTGCCTGTTCCTTCTGACACCCTCTGGAACTCAATCCTCTGCTGGGCACTGGCCTCAGGAATATACACCTGCCCCTCAGAAGCACATAGATGAGCAGCTACACCAATACACACAGCACATATGTGCAATCACATGACCATACACAGATGCAGAGACATATGAACATGTATATGAACATGCAACTACAACACAGCCACACGTTCATGTCACATGCAACCACACATACATATGTCAACAAGTAAGCCCATAGACATAGCCACCACACAGAAACCAGCATGCTCACCTACTTCCCTCAAAGGATGGACACTACTGGACCCTATGGCCAGCAGGACGGACTGTGAACCCAGGATGCTACTAACTAATGTCTACCTTTGTCCCCAGGGGCCACGAAGGACATGGGGAAGATGCTTGGGGGTGACGAGGAGAAGGACCCCGATGCTGCCAAGAAGGAGGAAGAGCGGCAGGAGGCACTGCGGCAGGCAGAAGAGGAACGCAAAGCCAAGTATGCTAAGATGGAGGCGGAGCGCGAGGTCATGCGTCAGGGCATCCGAGACAAGGTGGGTGACTAAGAGATGCAAGGAGGAGAGCTGCAGGCAGTGGCCTTGTGAGAAGGAGAAGCCTCCTTCCTCAGCAGTGGCCAGTCCCTCATCCCACTCATCCCTCATCTCAACTGCAGCCAGTGGGATATGGTACGGGGGAGCTGGGTAGAACCCTGGAGAAGGGGTAAGAGGTGGTTACCCGCTTCAGTGCATACTGCAGGGGCTGCTAGAAGCCAGGTGGGCAGACAGCACAGTAGGGCACTGGATCCTGTCCTAGGCCTCCAGGTGCTGGGGAGGGCAGAGCCACAGATGCATAGTGGGGACAATTGTTGTCCACACAGAAGAGATGCTAGGGGCTGTGGGAAGAAGAGCCTCATCTGGGTCTTTCTTATGGCTTAGCTCTGTACTGGTGCTTCAATAGGCCTGGGTAGGTGGGAAGCATGGGTTGGGGAGGGATTGGGGTATTACAGAGTCCTCCAGTTCAGAAGAGTGGAAGGCTCAGGCCGCAGGACCCGCTTCTGCCTGTGGGCCCATGTCGGGTTCTCTTATCAGTCTGTCAGTGGCAGGGAGCTCCTAGGTCTCATGTGGAAACTGGATCTCCTAAGATGGAGGGACACAGCTGGTGGGTGGCTGAGCACATTGGGTTCCTGGTCTCACAAAGGGCCAGCTGAGTAGCTGGTCACTTCTTCCCACCCATACCCCAACCTCTGGGCCCTAACATACCCACATCCCACATACAGTGCAGAGTACAGAATGCTGTTGATGGGGCTGAGCTATGCACCGGCCATCCCACCTCAGAGCACTGTCACTGGAGAGTTTCCCAGGTCCTACAGAAGGTGCCTGCTCATTCTGCTTTGACTCGCAGCCAGTGAGTCACTTGGTGCTCTTACTAGAGTGTTCTATTGATGATGTGATCAATGTGGACAGACCCTCCCCCACACTTTGGCTCTACTGTGTCAGGAAGGGGAGAGGGACATGGGAAAGAGGGAATGGAAAGTTAGAGACGACAGACAGCAGTTCTTGGAGCGAGACAGTCAGATGGAGTGACAGAGAAGCAAGAGAGAGCTGAGCTGAGCACTACAGAGGTCCCCAGGCAGAACTGAAAGGGAAGAGCTGCCCAGAGAGGGCAGAGCAAGGCTGGGGTGGGGTACTGTGCTGGGTGCTCAGATGTGCATTGACTCTGGGAAGCTTGGGCATCCCTCATCCAGAGCGGCACTGGGTGAATAATCCAGGGGAGTCCTGGGCCGGGCTTGATCTCTATAGGAAGTCCCTGCCAGACACTACCCCATCCAAAAAGGCCTTGACCTCTCAGCATTTTAGAAATTTGAGGTTCAAAATTTATCCTCCATCAAATTCAACAAGCCCGTGCCAGGCTGAATATGGGGAAAAGAAATGGAGACTATCCAAGTGAACGCCCAAAAGTAGGAGCCTCTGATGCAGTTGGAAAACTTGGACCAAAAAGGGGAAAGTTTGCAGGGGTCAAAGCTCCAGACACACCCAGATGCCCTACCCCTATGCTACTTCAACCCGTTTGGAACAGTGGGAAGCGGGTAGGAAGCCGTCAGTGTTCTTGACACCCACCTGTTGCTGCACAGCTGCTTGGACACATTGGACCCTTATAGCCCTAATCTTTGGGCCTTTGCTGCTGCTATCCCAAATTCCCTACTCTCCACAGAGTAAATACTGCCTGACTGGTGTGGCTCCTCAGCCCTCACTGGGCAGCCCCTGTTACTCACTAGCACTGGATCCCTAACCTCCCCTGGGCTATGTAAACTGGTCAGAGAAAGAGAGGCCAAGTGGTGGTCTAAGGCTTCTCTGTGATGAGGGGCTGGAGAAGGGACTGAGTGCTGGGAACCAGTTCTCACATCCTCTTGATTTGAGGCCCCAGATGACCTCATCCAAGGAAGAACTGGGCATGACCATTCAGGATTGTTTGTCTGAGGATGGGGGGTAGTATCCATACTCATTATGAAGTCATCTGAGCAGGTACTTGATTTGCATACCCACCATCCTATTTACATTCCCACCACCTGTTTGTGCACACAGTCAGATTTGCATACACACTTCCAAATTTGCATATGCATCACCAGATTTGCATATGCTTCCAGCCACCCACAGTGAACTGTTTAGCCAGAACCTTCCTTATGGTGAAGACTTGAAGCATGTCTCAGCCCCCACATTTCTGTACTCACTCAGGCTCCCTCAGTCTGTGTGATGATGACAGGTATTCAGGTGTGTGCCAGCCAGAGCTATTGGCTCTCACCACTGATAGCCACCTGCCAGTGCCAGCCCGCCAAGACAGACAGTACCTGAAAGGGGGAGTGAGGATTGAAAGAAAAAACAAGACACAGGAAAGATACTTGGGAATAGAGACTGCAGCCCCGGTCTCTATACTTGTTTGTAAGCTCCACCACTGGATCAACTTCACCTAGTGCCGGTGCTAACCGGCCAAGATGGACAGTACCTGAAAGGGGGAGTGAGGATTGAAAGAAAAAACAAGACACAGGAAAGATACTTGGGAATAGAGACTGCAGCCCCGGTCTCTATACTTGTTTGTAAGCTCCACCATATAAACACATTCTTCCTGATTTGGCAGATTAGGTACTGGTGTGCAAAACACAAACTCAGTAAACAAGCCTGCCACAGCTTATGTACATAATGGATTAACAGCTCCCGACAGCCACCATAGGCTTTTCCTCAACAGTCTCAGGACTTCTGTTATCTCCAATACATCAGACCCCCTACCACATCTCCCAGTCTTGGCCTGGCTCTGGAAGCTAACCTGGGCATGCCTTCTAGAAGTCAAGTACCTCTTGGTCCTGTACTTGAGCTGTTGTTTCCGTATCTTGGACATAATGGATAGCTGCCCTGGGTTAAGCTGGCATTTATCATTGGAGCCCAGAAATCAGAACTGACCACAATAATACATGAGTCTGGTTCTGGGTTGGAGCCTTAATGGCATCCCCTAAAAAGAGTAACTATGGCTTTCCCTAATGTGGCGCTCAGAGTAGACATGACCTCAGAATGAAGTTGAACATCAGTGGATAAACTGGCACTTTAGACCAAACTGAGTAACTCATAAGGCAGTAGTGGGGCCCCCTGTTATACACATTTCCTGATCACATGCATGCTCCTGAGTGTATAACCTTGGGCAGCTCTGCCTCCTGGGTGGCCTACCTACCTCACCTGACCCATGCGTGCTGCATTGCCTCTGCTTATAGCAGCCCAGGGCCCCTGGCTGGAGGAAAGCTTGCTTTAGCCTGACCTAGTTTCTGGAGACATCATTCCCAACCCATACATCACCCCACAGGACACTGAGGCACATGTTCCTCCTCCCCACCATAGGGACTCTGCCTGTGTGGGCGAGGCTGTCCCAGGAAGTGACCTGCAGTGGGACCAATGCCAGGTTGCAGCTGTGGGCAGGGCCCGTGCTGTTTGTTTCTCATTCTGGCTGATCTACCACTGCTCTGTTTTGTGCTGGCAGGTGCCTGGGGATGTGACTGTCCCTTGACAAGTCCTACCTCCTGGTCATCAGGACCTGCATTCTCAGCTCTGTTAAGGGGGTGAAGGGATGGCTGAGGAAATAGAGATAAGCCCCCTTTACCTCTTATCAGGAGTACCTGGTGTCCTCTGATCTTGCCTGAAGCTGGCCCTTGCCTCCTTCACACTGGAAGCCACTAGTAGAAGGGAAGCCCCAGGAGAGGGGAAAGGTGCCTTTGGTAGAAGAAGAGTACCCATCTGGCAGCCCCTCATCTGGAAGCAGAGTGCACCCCTTCTTTGGGGAGGAGCTGGTGGGATAAATCAGGAGTGGTCATGTTCCTTCTTGAGCAGGGGAAACAAAGCAGTGAATTTGGGGGATTCATAAGCCTCCAGGCTTCCAGGAATACAAGGTCTGAAGCTTGAGGGATTGGAGGAGGAACCAGGGTTAGTATAGGGGTTCCCAGAATGCTCTCCACAGGGAGCCCCAGAGAGCAGCCTCCCCATGCCTCTGTGATCTCAGGCACCTGTTGTTTATGTTTTTATTTATTTATTTATTTATTTTATCTTTTTAATTTTTATTTTATGTGTATTTGTGTATTGCCTGCATGTATGTAAGTGCCCGTGGACAGAAGAAGGTATGGGATAACTGGAGTTACAGACAATAGTTAGCTGCCATGTGGGTGCTAGGATTCGAACTTGGGTCTTCTGCAAGAACACCCAGTGTTCCTGATCGCTGAGCCATCTCTCCAGCCCCTATGTTTTTATTTTTTTAATCAGCATATAATATGTTAGATACCATTATGATATATTCAAAGAAATTTTTTTCTTTTTTTTTTTTCTTTTGTCTTTTTGAGACAGGGTCTCCCTGTAGCCCCAGCTGGCCTGGAACTCACTATGTAGATCAGGCTGGCCTCGAACTATCAGAGATCTGCCTGCTTCTGCCACCGAGTGCTAGGATTAAAGGCGTGCGCCACCAGCGCCAGGCTCAAACAAATATTTTGTAGTTCTCCTTTCCCTCCATTTTCCTCTGCTCCTCCTTCCTCCCTATAGCCCCCTCTTCCAGGCTCTCTTTCTCTTTCATGTCTCATATATCCTTCAGGTACCTCTTAACCGCCCATTCTCTGTGTGGTTCCCACAACCTGGATAGGATCACTTCTAGGGCCCCAATGCACAGGATGGGCCTAGGACTCTGCTCATGTCTTTCTCAGTCATGAACACCACTTTTCAGGGTCCCTGGGTGCTTTCTTGAGTGCAGGGAGGACCTGGCCTCCCTGGGTGTTGCCTGGATAGTAGCAGACTTGGGAGGTGAGTGTGCAAGCTTCAGTGGACTACCCTTTCCTCTGCAGTATGGTATCAAGAAGAAGGAGGAGCGTGAGGCTGAGGCCCAGGCAGCCATGGAGGCTAACTCAGAAGGCAGCCTGACTCGACCCAAGAAGGCTATCCCACCTGGCTGTGGGGACGAGCCAGAGGAAGAGGATGAGAGTATCCTGGACACCGTCATCAAGTACCTGCCTGGGCCACTGCAGGACATGTTCAAGAAGTAATGCCACACGGTCAGCGCCAGGAGCCCCGCCCTCTGTACAGACCCCTGCGGAGGCCTCCCCAAGGGATGCTGGGAGCAGATGCAGCACCACCCCCCCACGCAAAAATAAGCCATAGTCCTAGATCTGTCCTGCCCATGCCCCCCTTTGCGCCTAGGGAGCCTCCGGCCACCCCTCCCCGCACTGCCATCCCCGACTCCACCAGGCAAGGGTGTGACCCTCAGGCCCCAGTGCTGTGCATCCTTGCCTGAGGGTGGTCGGACCCCTCCTTACTGATCTTGAGTTCACCATTCCCACCCAGCCTGCCCAAGGTCAGGCCCTGGAGGGCCAGCCCTGACCACTCCTGCGGTGCCATCCCTGCATGGGTGGGCACCTGTCAGGGCCCAAACTCAGGAGCACAGCCATAGTGGGATGGGGTTTGGGGGATGGGCAGTGGGCCCTGGGGGCCCCAGCCGCTCCCTGAGCCCAATGCCCCAGTTTCTGGACCTGTTGGACCTGCCGGACCACGCTCTGTCTTCCTATCTGTGTGCTGCCGCTCTAGTCTTCACCGGCGGCCCTTGCATATTTTGTCCCACTGTCTCTTTCTGTTATTTGCTCCCTTCTTCACTGTTGTCTGCAAGGTTTGGCTTCTCAGGAATGCCACAGCTGTGTTCCCTACTCAACCAGGGGAAACAAAGCAATAGTTTTGAGGGGTTCTCAGACACAGTTTGAGTCCCTTGGTATTCCTGTGATGCACACTTTGGAATCCCATTAATCTCTGTCCCACCTCTCCCTGGTGGCCTCTGTCCTCTCTGTGAAGGGCACAGTCAAGTCCCCGAGGGAGCTCCTACCTTCACCACTGAACATCTACCTTCAAAATGCCCCCTCCTAAAAGCCCAGGGCTCTGTGGACCCATGTGCAGAGCAGTCAGAGGGCCACAGGGTCAGGTATCCCCACCCTCCCCTCTATTCCTCCTCTGAAGGGCTTGACAGGGGCCTACAAATGCAGGCCCTGGGCTCGGGCTGTGATGTTCTGTTCTGTGCATGGCCCAGGGGGACTATGGCCCAGCTATTCCCTTTCGCTCAGCCAGCAGTCATTGTTCTCCATACTTGTTTTAATTTACATCATAATATGTTGAATCTCAGGTAAATGAGGTCTGTATCTGATGAGTCTTATCTTGACAGAAAGGCAATCCTGGGTCTTCCCAGACATTTCTGTCCACATTAAAACTACATTAAGTGTCCATGAGTTTTGGGCCAGGTATGTGGCTTGGCATTGACCTTCATGACCTTACATAGCTCTTTAGAGAAGCCATAACAATTAGACTGCAATACTAACCAGAATGCCCTCTGCCCAAAGAGACAAGCATGTTTGGCCCACCATGTCTTGCTCACCTGAGCCACCCTCTGCACCTTGGCTCTGAGCAGATGGCCTTCTCTTGAGTTAATCCCACACCCCCTTCCCAGCGCATGGGGCACCAGGCCGCCGAGCTTAGCATAACCCACGTGTTTTCTGTCTGTCTGTCCTTGTGCCTATGCCTCCTCTTGCATGTCGGAGGCCTCTCATGTGTTCTCTCCAAGGGAATCACAGCCAATAAACAGTGATTTCACACCGGGTGGCTATTCCTTCCAGACTCCTGTTTCTGTGGGGAGGTGCCTTCCCTTATGTTGGAGCAAGTGCAGGGTGCCCCCCCCTGCCCCCCTCCCAGTCCCGACCCAGATTTATTATCCCATCACATTCTCCAGAAAGCAAACTGTCCATTTAGGATCTCAGTGCCCAGGGAGGGCCTCCAGGACAGTCAGATTTCCTTCCACACAATTTCCCCAGGCCCCAGGGATCCAGACTTCATTGCTTCCCAGACCTGGGTACACCAGGAACTCCACAATCCTGTTGTTCTGCCTGGCCCAAAGGGCTCTCCTTATGCCCTGTAGCACCATGTCCCACACACACTGCCAACTCTGCCGGCAAGTCACATGGGACTTGCTAGCTTTCTAGTCTGGCAAATTTTATTGGGCCCTAGCCCAGAGAATAATCCATCTATCTCATTCTGTAGGTCTGTATTCAAAACTGACCTGATGCTCTAACCCTTAAGCGCTGTTTTAAGAGAGGTTTTAAGGCCAGGTATGATGGTGTGCATGTACTTTTCCCCAGCACTCCGGAAGCAGAGGCAGGCAGATCTCTGTGAGATCAAGGCCAGCCTCATCTATGTACTCAGTTCCAGGTCACCTGGAGCTATAGGGAGACCCTGTCTCAAAAAGAAAGGAAGGAAGAAAGGGAGGGAGGGAGGGAGGAAGAAGGAAGGAAGAACAAAAGAGAAAGAGAAAAAGAGAGAAAGAAAAAGAAGAAAGAGTCTTACTACATTTTGGGGTACTCCCTCTCCTACAAGGCAGAAATTGTGTCCTGTGACCTTCCCCACACAGGGACCTTCCAACAAAACCTGTCCAATCTGGACAGAAAGGCTACACATGTCTCATTCTTACTGGGGATGCAGGAGTGGGTAGAGGTCGAAGTGCAGGGGTGTGGGGGCAGTGTCTTAGAGGGACCTTGCTCTCCACTGGGTACAGGACTCTCTCAGTCCCCTCCCATTACCTCTGGGGGGCTCACCCTTGTCCTCTGCCTCCTTTGTGGAGTGGACCTACCTCTAGACACCACTGAATTACTCAAGTAACACTCCACTTGCAGAGGTGGCAACTGGCCCTCCTTCCTGAGACCCAAGTCTCTGAGGATTTGTTGTGCACTGTCGCCCAGCAGGGATGCTCCTAGAAGGGTACTCCAGAGTCCACCCACCTGTGGCCTGATTGCCCCACCTCACAGTCCAGCCTGAATCCCTCTTGGGTCTGAACAGTGGCCTGGGTGTACTGGCTGATGGAGAACTGATCAGTTGGTCACCCAGGATGTATGGGTCAAACCCTGGCTGATTATGCTACAGTGTCTTCTAGGGCCAGGATAAGGTCCCTTTTCTTGTAGTGTTTCTTGTGACAGAGAAGGGTTAAATATATACAGTAATTGGTGATTTCTCCTGGGGCAGTGAGTGGTGGGGTGAGGGGCTGCTATTCATGAGGGGTCTGACAACTTCAGAGTGAGTGCCCTATAGAGGAGGAGGGCAGGGGCCACGTGAGCATTCGGGCATGGGTTCGGGGGAGGCGGTATTCTAGGCAGAGGGATAGCTACTAGGACACAGGAAAAGAAGCCCCCGTCTGCCAGTCTGGCCCCAGTCACTCCAGGTCCCGTTCCCCTTATACATGAACACCTTTGGCTGCTTATGCCTCCAGTCTCTGGTTACAGCTTCTTCCTGGGCTGCTGCGGGAGAACAGCCTCCAAGGGTGGGCAGGATCTGCGCTGACCTGCGCTCCGCTTGGCGAGACCTGTCCAGACCTGGACGGAGCTGCTTTCAATCAGAAGCCACCTGACCATTAAAACGTTCTCGAAAAACTTTAAAACGTCCAGCAATTAAAGACCAATTTGTCTAGTTCTGCTAATCCGCAGCTAGACAAATCCTGCTGTCCACCATGAAGCCAGCAGGCCACGGACCCCTGGGTCTGGGCCACCTGTCCATACATCTTGGACACCAGCTGCTCCAGTTCTGAGAGGGGCAGGCGGGGTGTTGTGGTGGGTAGAAGGGTCTGGGGCGGGACTCTGCCAGGTGCGGGCAAGGCCTGGGCTCGGAGGAGGAGGGGTGCCCGGCCCTCCCCGGCCGCTTCAAACCCACCAAACCCGAACCCGCGGCCGAGGGGGCGGGGCCGGGGCGCAGGGGGCGCCGCAGACCTGAGCCAATCCTCTAGCGCCACAGTGCTCTGCCCCGATTGGTTCCCAGACGAATCCGTGCAGATTCTGCCCTATGGAAGCCGGGAAGATGCGATTGCCTGGAGAAAGCCGAGTCTGCGGCCTCAAACCCGCCCCCTTCCGGGGTCTGCCCTTCCCCGCCTCCTCGTCACATGTCCCGCCCCTTGCTGACCGCCCCCCCCTAGTCCTGCCTCCTCCCCTTCCCCTTCCGGTCTCACCTTCAGTTTTTCTCAGTCCTTGCCCAGGCTTGTTCAGAAATGGAAAGCTTTTGCAATGTGGTGGTAATTAAGAACTTCCAGGGGGGAAAACTCTTATGAGACAGGTATGGGGGAGGTGAGCAGGAGTCGTGTCCGTGACCATCAGTCCCGTGTCGTCGTCGCCCCCCCCCCACCGTGGTTGCCCAGGGTGGAAGTCTTTGTTTTCCAAAGTTTTTGCGGTCATGTAAAACATATTGTGGCCTTGTTATGTTACCTTGCTTAGTTACCACATGTACCTTTTACTTAATTGTCACCTAGGTACTGTTTTGCCTTTTGGTTGCATTTCCCCACGCATGAGTATAAAAGCCCTCCAAAATTTAAACGGGGGTGTGACTCCTTTTATTCCTGGGGTCAATCCCTCTAGCATCAAATTATTAAACTTCCTCACTTCACTTAACTTCAGCTGTTGGTCTCTGATTTTTCCGTAACAATCTCTGCTTCAGGCTCGCTATCTTCCACTTTCCTGAGAGCAGCGACCTAGGCTTAGTTGTCACTGGCGTCCCTCCTTGGGTACAGGGCTTTCTCCCTTTTTCAAACCAAATTAAATGTGGCCTTGTCTGACCTCTGACAAGGGGCAGGCCTAGGGTAGGTGTGAGACCACCTCAGATCCCCAATCTCCTGCAGGGCTTCCCTGCATGATGGAATATTGTTGGGAGCAGAAGGCAGGCTGTAAAGCTGGTGAAGTTCATTCAACTGAGTTCTGTACCAACCCAGCCTACTTTAGGGTCCTTACTGTATTCCCAGGACAGACGGATCTCTGTGAACAGGTACTGTTCCCCTCCTCTGTTCCCATGGTGACTGAAAGGCCCAGGCCAATGAGGTACAAGAAAGCACAGGTGTGAGCAACCAGTAGTGCTGTGGGGGGAACCTTGCCAGGAATCCACTTCCACCTTGCAGTGGTTCTTGAGCCAGCTTGTCTCTTGGTTTCACCTGTTATCCTGGGTCAGGCCAGGCTGAGGATAAACCAGGCACCCACTGCTGGTACAGGCTCTAGGTGGTGGACATGAGGGGTTTGTGGGGAGGAGTACTGTCTGGGTGGCTGCCATGCACTATGGAGGTGTGGGCCCATGCTTCTGGAGGACAGTTGGGGAGGGGCCAGCACTGTTCACTTAGGTCCCTGCAGTTTGCCAGGATCCGAGAAGGATGTGGTGGGTAGTTGGAGCAGGCTGGCTGACGATGCTTCACTCTTGGGTCAGTCCGTTTGTTGGGTGCTGAAGCTCAGGGAAGATCCATGGTCATCAGGGTGGCAAGAGTGATGAGCTGCCCCACTGTGTGGAATGCTGAAGGCTGCTGGTGATTCCCTGATGTTGCCTGGGATGATGTCTTATACGGACCCCCACAGGCAATGGTGTCAAAGTTGAAATGTAGTTGATTTCTACAAAAGACAAAGCTGTTTCTTGTACCTTTCAGTGCGTTCACTAAGACTTAACATTGCACAGAGACCAAAGGACTTTACAGATATCCTCAAAGGAATGCTGGAGTTCAGGGTCCATCAGCCCGAAAACTGTCTGTGCATGTGTCCACTAGAACCAGGAGCAGGAATCAAGAAGGTGAAGAACATTGCATAACATTTCCTGGCCTCCTTGGCTACTCTCCCTCACCTGATGGGCAGGTTCAGGAAAATGGGAAGCAGCTTGGTGGGGCTTCGGATCACATGACAAACTGACACTCTGCACATCTCCATTCAAATACAAGGAGCAGAGATAAAGTTCACCAACCAGGAGAAACCCATCTAGGGCTGGGATAGAAAGGAAGGAAATTCTAGAAAGGAAACCCTTAGCAAAGGACTATAAGAGCGACATGGTGACAGCTGGATGTGCCCAATGGCAGTGTAATGGGAAAAATCAGGCTGGACACTGGGAAAGTACAAGAAGCAGGTATTTTATTTAGGCTGCAGCCTGGTCCAGAAGACTCAAGCCTCAAAATCTGGACCCCGAAAGGAGGTAGCACATATCTTTTATATCTTAGGCATTAAGTTACCCTGAGAAGGAAACTTACATATTGATTGGCTATCAGTAAAGTCTTACAATCAGGCAAATTATTATAAATTTAAAAAAGAAAAAAAGTGCTAAAAAAAAGTCCTCTGTTAGAAAGTCATTACAGAAGTCACTGTTGGAGGAAAGTAGAAAAAGGAAGCATTATGGAAAGGGGGACAAAACACAGGCTGGCACTGGGTGACTGCCAGTGTTCCAACTACAAAAGCTCAGCAAACATCCTGTTGACAAGTTGGTATAGAAACAATAAGAGAAAACAAGGATTAAAATCCTTATCGTCCTTGAATATCCCATCAGGCTCTATATCAGTGGAGGCTGAGTTGGATCACAACCCAGATGGGGAGAAATGTGTAGACATACACACAGAAATGATGACTGAGTAAATGTATAATGGAGAATGGGGGCCTTCCATTGCAGAGGACTCCACACCTTGCCTCCTCTTGGCAGAGTACCACAAACAACTTCCAAAAGTGAGGCCTCACCTGCAGACACACCTTTCTAGGTAGTTAAGGCAGAGACAATGTCCTTTTGTCAGCCCATAGGTCCCTGACAGTCTAAGCCTCCAGGGCCCATAGCCCCA